CCACCAGCACCCCACTCTGGTATGCTCTTAAGAACTGTTTGCCAAATTCCAAAAACCATACTGGTTCATATTTGCTATTCTTCAGAAAGTGGTTTTTTTATTATTTTAAAAATATAATTCCCTCCAATGATAGCACATCATGAAATCAAGGGGATGGGTAGTTATATACATAGTTTTCACATTGAACAGTGAGCATCACATTGAGAAAAATAATCTTCAAGCAATCCTCCAGTCTAATCTTCATCAATTACAGAATACACATGTGCATTCATTCATTCATCCATCCATCCAACAAATGGGAGTACCCACTGCCCTGGTGACAAAGAGAGACAAGAATCCTTATGGGTTGCATTTCTCTGTGGTGCAGCTGGCTATAAGCAGGTTTACGAAATAATTAGTGGAGGAGTTGAGCTGACCTGAAGCCATAATACTCAGACTGCAACTTTGCCACCTGCCACCCACACTACTCAAGCGGAAACAGAAGAATGAGATTCCAAAGCCTCATGCTTCAATCTCTTGCACTAAATTCTAACTACAAATGTTTGATGTTCTATTCACTCAAGGTCTCCTCATTCAAAAAGGATTCAATGTAGAATCATAAATACTTTAGGTCTATAATAGAAAATGTATGCCAGGAGAAAGTAATGTAGCATTCAAAACTCTCAATATGTAATCTTTGATATCTTTTCTCTTAGTGACTTGGAGTATGAAATTTGGTCTCCTGAAATACACGGACCACTAGCATATAAAACATACAGATGTGATTACCTTTGTCCTCCATGAGTGTCTTACATGAAGATACACACACAAACACACACACACACACACACACACTTATAAATGAACATTATAGCTCTAGAAGAACAATATCTAGATGATATTTAGAGCACGTCTTCAAAAAGTGTTATATATGTACAAAGGAAGAAATGGACAATGAGTGAATCAGGGAGGAAGACAAAGAATGTATGTTGAAGTTCAACACCTCCTACTCTAATAATGAACAATCATTTATAAACACCTGTGCCACAGAGGGGAGAGTAAAAGGAGATTGGTGACTTTTTTCTGTGTGTGCTGGTCCTGGAGCTTGAACCCAGGGCCTGAATACTGTCCCTGAGACATTTTGCTGAGAGATAATGCTCTACTGCTTGAGCCACAGCTTCACATTTGGTTTTCAATGTATATTCCAGGCATCACATATATTTTACAGGCATTATTAGTCCATTCCTTAATCACATCTACCATGTCTTGGCCTGCAGAGTATGTGGGTGGGGAATAGAACTGATTCATCTTATTCTTTTCTCATACTAGAGCTGTGTGTGTAACATACACTAGAAGACCATGAATGACTACACTAGAAAGGCATTAAATGATGTTGAACAACTGAATTGTTTTATGAATGAGTTAGTGCTTAAAATACTCAAAAAATTTAACAATTGAAGCACATAAAGAGGTTGTACAAAGAGAAAAGAAATCAAAGATTCTCAGTTTAAGACACCATTTAGGCAAAAACTTGGGAGCACCTGATTTGAGGTAGGAGCATCACACATCTTTCTTTCTACGTATGAATTTAAAGTGCTAGAGGGTTAACAAGAGTCTCCAAAAAAGAGCTGAAAAGAGCTGTAGGTCTCCATGTGTATGATGCAACACCTTAGACTCCATTTATAGGAGAAGAAAAGGCCTTTCCTTCTCAGAATGCTTTGAAATGGGTTGACCAGAATGAAGTCAGGTATCAAGACTTCAACCTGGAGCCTAGGATACAGGAAGGAGGCAGAGTTAATATCAAATTTGGCATGAGAGAATTAAGATTCAAGATAAAAATTGTTCTTAAGATGAAAATTTAAAGAAAGAGGAAAATGATTAGACAGAAATCCCAAATAAAACTGCACACTGCACCTCCCACTTGGAAGAGCATAGGTGAATTTGAGGCGAGTTTTGGCTAGAAGAGAAACTTGTTTTTAAAAAATCAAACAATAAATAAACAAGAGAGGGAGGGAAGAAAAGAGAGAGGAAGGAAGGAAGAAGAAAGGAAGACTGCACTAATAATCCTCTTTTGCTTTTCTCCTTGTAGAGAAAAGACATCACCCTTTCTTCAGAGAAATCCCAAAGCTTTTGCTTCATTGAGGCAAACAATGGTTTAGAAATTTTACTCTCCAGTTTAATTGCATCAGGATTTAGCATGCTGAGTCCTAGGCTGTGGGTGAAATTCCTATATAGCAAGAATGGGAGACCTAGACACTGTTCTGAGCCCTGAAGGTTGCCAAAGCCCATCTCAAATAAATGACGATTCGGGCACCTAGCAATACAGCAACTGTAATACCATCTGAAACAGAATCTACCATTATTTCCAACAATCACCTCATGTTGACAGTTGCAGTAGCTAAGGTACACTGAGTGCAACTCGGTGTGGTCTCACAGTGAATTAACTTCTATGCATTCTGACAAAAATCCTTCCAAGTAGACTTCAAAACCCATCCCTAGGAAGGGTGGAACTGGGACTTCGCTCTGGGAATCTTACTTGGAAACCGTCTTTACACTTAAGATTACTATAGTGACTAATAAAGAGCCTCCAAATCCCAGAAAGCATTGCTGATGTCCATTAGGACAGCTAGCGGAGCAGTAAGGAAAAGCTTGCTGGCAGATCTTCTGGTTCCATCTTTTGAACCAGGGAGTTTCCAAGTAATACAAACTAAGTAATCCTATGCAGATGCAGCAGCAGTACCAAAATATGTTCTGCACAATTGTATACATACATAATCCCATCATCAGGTGATCACTATGAAGAAACATGGTCTCAATTGACAACTTATCAAATTTATGGAGTTCATTATTATATTTTCTTGATTGGCATTTTGTTAATACAAAGCAGGTTATATATGTGGCTTATTAAAATTCATTTATTATTATGAGAAGTGCCCATTAAGGCAGAACACTGTCTGACATGCACACTTAAAAGCAAATTTTATTTGTGTCATACAACCACCAGGGAACGACTTCTAGTAGTATCTTCCATTTTCAGATGAAAAAAACAGATACAGAGAAAATAAATACATTAACCAATACCACAGCATTGAACTTTAAAACAGTAACATTATACAAATGTGGTTGTAACACTATACCAAAGATATCCCCAAAAGAAAACAGCAAATTCTAGAAATAGTCTTTAAAAAAGACTCAGCTTTCTATATCAGAAAAGCATAACCCTAAAAATTGTATCAAACCCAACAACTGGCAAACACACTAATTTTTTAAATATCTGCCCCATTTATTTCACCATATTAATAATATACAAGAATTTTGACAATGAATTATAATAAAAATAATTCTTTGGCATTGTATTTTTGACTAAGGAATAATGAAGCTATTGAAAAATAGTTGGTTATTGAACCAATATTACTTCTGAAAAATAATTGCTATTAGCCAACCCTACAAAGTCCAGATAGGCACATTATAAATATGAGATATGTATTCCAAATGTCTGAATAGTTAGCAAACATAGAGAATTCATCAACTAAGCAAGCCATGAAATCTGGCCTGGAATTTGGTTGGTCATTGAATTTAATTGTTCTTATTGTTTTAAAACGTAAATAGTTTGGCCCATTCATATATTTGCTAAAAACTATAATCACAAAAAGCTAAAATTTAATTTTATAAACAAGGCGATATGACTAGCAATCTTATCTAAAGTTTAACAAAAATTGTTATCTCATAGATCTTTCAAGATCCCTGTATTATAAAGCTGATTTTAATTTACAAATTATACTTTCATTAAAGACGGAAGATATAAATGAGCTTTTGTGTTGAATAATACCCTTACCGACTTGAATTATACCATTTCTTTGTTAACATAAAATGGTGACACTCATAAAATGATAATGTAGTTCTATAGTTTCAATGACAAAAATTAAAGGATTTTTGCTGAGAAGATAATGAAACAATAACCAAGATTTTTATAACAATAAAATTAATATTGCATTGGTTTTCAAATAAGACAAGAATATATAAGCTCATATATAATGAAACAGGAATAATTCACTCTATAAGAGAAAAAGGATCAACTTTTTAAAATATGTGGGTTAACAAACCCAGGGGGGGAAAAGATAAAGACAAAGATAAGAGAACAAGAAAGAAAGGAGGTAGGAGACATTTGACATTTAAAAGCCAAAAATCTTACAGGAATAAAATTACATTCCGAAAGCATGTTTGAAAGTTAAATTTCACTAACAAAGCAGAGAATAAAGAAAATGTAGATTCAGTTCAATATTCTCCATAAAATAAAATCTAAAAGGCATATTTCCAACAAGTTGGAATTGTATTAACAGGCATCGTCTGGTTAGAAATCTCCCTTTGCACCATGAAGAAAGTACATATTCCAAGAGCTGAAGAAGAGCAAGAATGTAGTACACACACTGTAGGATGCTTAGGAAAACAAGTGTCTGAGCACCATTCAAGCAATTGTCTCATCTGTTTCCTGCAGATAATATTCTCTACCATCTCCAATTAGGTTATACTTCAAGTAGTCTATAAATACAGGTTGAACACTTAACTAAATTTTATTGCACTATAGATTGGCTGTAGTCACTTTGCCCAAATGTAAACAATAATGCAAATTTCCTTGAATTTTCCATTTGTGGATAGATCTACTTGTGTGAAAGACAGGTAATTGAGACTTATGCAAAAATAGAAATTTGTGTACTTATTTTACAGAGTTTCTCTATAAATATACATTTAGCCAAAGAGGCTTCTACAAAATTTAGGAAACAAACTATCAAATATAACATCTTCTATTTTCTTTTCTTTTTTTTTTTTTTGATGGTCCTGGAGCTTGAACTAAAGGCCTGGGCACTCCTCAGCTTTTTTGCTCACAGCTAGTGCCCTACAACATGAGCTACAATTTCATTTCCAGCTTTTGGGCAGCTAATTGGAGATAAGAGTCTCACAGACTTTCCTGGCCAGACTGGCTTCAAACTGTGAATCCTCAGATTGCAGATCTCCTGAGTAGCTGAGGTTACAGGTATGAGCCACCAGTGCCTGGCTATATCTTCTATTTTTTGAAAATCCTACTTTATAATTGAGAGGAGATGAGATGGTAACACAGTTGACTTTTGTTGATTTATAGAATATGATCATCTCTTTACACATGCTTCTGCTAATGTACTAAACTTGGGCTCCAAATTATTCAAAAATTCAAGCCCATCTTCTTGCTGTTGGTCACTGCAGCAACTTATAGAACCTGCCAAGGATCCTTTTCCTTCATAGCTATACGTGAGGACATAGTCTTGAGCATGCTTATCATTGTCATCTTCGTTGCACAGGTGCACCTTCTGCCAAGGGGAAAAACACAACATATTTTATTATTATTATTTTAAGCACCAAAACTTACTAACATGAAAGTAATTGCTTTGATTTACCTTTCCTTGTTTAATTTTTAATCAGAGTGTGTCCTCTAATGGATTCCTACATGTAAAAAATGCACATGATTGGTGTGTATCATTAAATCAAACTACAAATTCAGCATCTAAGCACGCTTCTAAAAGTCACACATGGTCGCAAGTATACAAGGGTTCATGTTAAGTAATGACTGCTTTCCCTCTTTCAAAATGATGGCTGAAAGTGAAAAACATCTATAGAGTTATATTCAAATGGGATGTAGGCTCAGATTGTCCCAGATAGGCCTAGAGATGACACACATTGATGTGGTGTTGTATCATCTTTTTTGGTTTAAAAACAAAAACAAAAACATATCATCCGATGTACTAAACCCTGAGATAATAACCTTGTATTTCACTAAGAGCATAAAGCCAAAGACAAGTAAATAATCACTTAAATCTGAACATAACTATAGCAAAAACAAAATAGCCTTCTAATAAATAGTTACCATACATAGAAAATAAAGGTCTAAATAAATACTAAGTGGGAATATTACAGAGCTTTCTAGGAGACTTAATGAAACTCACTTCACAGAGGCGGGGCTGGGTGAAACTGTACCACTCCGAGTAATTGTATCTGCAGTTGTCTGTCTCCACGTGTCCTCCTCTGCAGGAATCCAGGGTGTGGTGATGACCAGTCGCCACCCGGCAGGTGTCCAAGGTCTGATGTCCGCCCTTCATCATCTCAATAGTCTCTTGCCCTCCGTTTTTGACTCCTGGTCCCAATGTGCCACAAATTCCCTGGCCAGACATGCCCACTGTGTGGGTAGTGAAGCCATTTGTAGAGTACTGTAATGAGGAATAATTTGCGTTGAGGAAATAAACACCGACAAAAAATATGAAAAAGAACACCACGAAGAAGACAACGCCTTGATTTGTTTGTGCACTCAAAGATAAGCGCTCTGAGGGCAGGCAGGAGCTAAAGGTGTCTTCTTAATCTTGAGTACCTGGCTACTGCAATCTTATTGGTTAACACAGTGTCTTAACACAGTAAGCAGATTGCAAATGCCAATGGTTGACACCTGAAGGTAAAACAGATGGCTCAATGTATATTCCTTCTTTCTTTGGATTCCCAACTTTATTCATATTCTGCCAGCATCTCACCCCTGGGTTATCTTATACATTCCCTTGGGCCTGACTAGAGCAGCAACAGAAGTAAAGGTCAGTTTTTGCTTTTTTGTTAATTCAGTGTCTAATGTAATCCTCTTCAACCTTAAAAGAATGAGGCGGCTATAAAAATTAGCTATGATCACAAATCCTTGCACTCTAGATAAATGTAAACAATAAACTAGGCAGAAGAAAAATAGCAGAATGTCAAAACTTTGGCTACTAGTTTTCTAGGTGGTGTGTTCGGGCATTGTCATGTAATTTAAGTGTTATAAAATCCCTTTTTAGAGAACCATCATGATTTTGTTTTATAAAACTATTTTCTCTGATCATCAATTATGCTTCTCACAGAAAATCTACTTGCTCTTCTTCCATGCGTTAGGCTAAAAAAAAAAAACTCAGAGCAATAGAGAGACGGTAACATTGCTGCTTCAGATATTCAGCCTCAGGCTCCTTTCTAACCCACATCACAGCCAGAGAGATCCCATTAAACTTCTTCCCAGGACGATCAAAGTCTGAAGTGATGTTATTGCTGTTGCCGGAAAAAAATTTAAAACAATTATCCTGGTGATCTCTAATTAAATTCAGTATAGTTCAGCCTGAGCAGCATTTTAAATGATAAAAAAACAACAACAAAACCCCCCACAAAAGTCAGGTCTAACATTAAAACCATGAAACACTTGAAGTCATAATAATAATGGCATGGTTAAAAGATTTTGGGCTATTAAATAGTGCTGTGTAGCCCAGTTGAAAAATCAAATCTGACCATAGGAATAAAAATCATTTTATCTGTTCCGTAGGAAGAGTGCTATTTTAGGAAAAGTTAACTGACACCAGTTAACTTGCTCAGATCAAATTACTTTGGAGGAGATATAGATTACAGGACAATACATATTGGTATTTATTTCAGAAAGACAGGAGACTTACCACTTTATCATCTCCTGGAGCTTCAGTATTTGATACAAGCAGGTTTTGCTGGGGTAGGTCATCAGGAAGTGTTTTTACTTGTTTGGTTGTCCCAGAAGTCCCACAAACTAATGTAAATAGAATACCTGAAGGAAGAAAAAAAGCACACACTTAAGTCTATCATTAAGTATGGTGAAGTTAGGAATTAAAATGATTAATATAGATAAATCATAAAGCAATTGGTCATAAACAATGGCCATGTAGAGTATGTACATATGATTGTATCAAAGAAGTACATACTATGTATGCATCACATGTTCTTTTTCTACTTGGAATTTTATGTGTATGGTGAGAAGACACTAAAGATATATATATATATATATATATATATATACACACACACATACATAAATATACTAAAATTGTGTGTTAATCATGCTGTGTACTTAATAGAACTATGAATCCACAAATGATCAGCTACAGATAATAATGTTGATTCTAAGAGGTTTCTGAAGATACTGTAAAGGCTTTTATTTAAACTCAAGCAAGAACTTACAAAATAGCATTGCTATGCCCAACAGGATTGCAAGGATGGCCCACGGTCCAAGTCTTACGTCTCCATTGCCTGATCTTTCCCTTGAGCGAGTGGCACAGTCACTTGGAGTAATACAGTCACATATAATGACATTCAGAGATGTGACTGTAGACAGGCCTAGCCTATCTGAAACTCGGATTGGAACTTCATAAGACCCAAATGGAGGATCATTCTGATAAGAAAGACGTGCTGCTGTATCTGAAAGAGAAAAAAAAATGACACCCAGCATTACAGATGACTGATTTTATGTGAGCATAAAAAAATGACTTATGGAATAGCTACTGTATTTCCCTACAGATGGATGTGTGTGAGAAAGAGACAGAGAGAGAGAGAGAGAGAGAGAGAGAGAGACAGACAGACAGACATACATACAGACAGAGCATATTAGAACCAAGATTTGAATTCACTTTGTGCTCCCATTCAGTTTTTACTGCTCAGGGCTGGAATGCCACCATTTGAACCACACCATTCCCTATTGACACTCTTGATGATGGGTTGGTGCAAATGCCAAAACACCATCCATGTTAATATCCACAGCCATTATAAACACATTACATCATAGTTTACACAGAACTTTGTCCACACTGCTGCCTCATTCTTTGTTGTTGTTGTTATTGGTTTTGATGATGTTTTTTTTAATTCTGTTGTTATAGCCTTTTATTTTCACTAGTGCCGAGATTTCAAATCAGGGTTTTGAGCTTGCTAAGCAGGTGTTCTCTTGCTTGATTTATGCCTGTAATAGGGTTTCAATTTTCCCCCAACATCAGCATCAACTTCCTCCATCTTATTTTGTTTCCAGCTAGAGTTGGGATGACAGATGTATAACACCATATCTAGTTTTGTGTGTGTGTGTGTGTTGAGATAGGATGGCCTAGAACCACAGCTTTTCAATCTGAGCTACTATTACTTGGCTATGATATCCCTTACAAAGATCATTGGGTTCTTGTATAACGCATGTTATCTGCTCATAAACAAATCCTCCCTGTGATAAGCAATAAGACTTGTTAAAGGATTTGATTTTTTTAATCATACGTTTAAAATATTCAATTAAACTGATCTATATATTCCTTTAAATGTGTTCCATCAGAGATTAGTAGATTGAGATTTTGAGTATTTCCCTTTAACTTTTTTTCATACATTATGGCAAATAAACATGAAAACTTGTAATTTATTGTCAGAGACTCATTTCTGAGAATTTCAAGCACACCTTACTGAGAACATACTAGAAGATCATAAGTTAGCTTATTGTAATTGCATCTCTTCTTCCCAAAGAGTACTGGGGTCAATCATTTTGATACATGTTTTCAGATCAACAGTAAGAAGTAAGGAGAAGAGTATAGCCCTGGGTTCAGGCAGAGAACCTTATGTAAGTTTAAATGTAGATGACCATGTCAGACAATAATCCATTTCTCACTTAACTATCTAGTGAAGAATTCTAGTATTTTGTATAGTCTTTGAAGCTCTAAATTCTTAAGCAAAGAAACCAGTGAGTTAAGATTTTTTAAGAGAAATTACTGTTAACCTGTCAGATCTATTGTGTAAGAACTTATCATAAATAATGAGATTAACAAAGTCTAAGTTGTGACTCATAGAGGACCAGGGTCTAGTTCATTAATCCTCTCATTGACTTTCTCAAAGAATCCCATTTTACACTTGGGTTAACTGATGCTGAAAGAGGATAAATCACATGCCTAGAGTTACACAACTAATAACTGGTGGGACCAGCATTTTACACTAAGCCTATCCAACTTCAAAGCCTCTGTTGGATTGGTTCTTAACTTGGTGTTTCCCAGACTTGTAGAAGAGTTCACCCAACAGAAACTCTTGAGAACTAACAGTTGGGTGCTAAGGGTATAACTCAGTGGCAGAGCTCATGCCTAGCCCAGCTAAACAGTGGATTACTCTAAATGGCCATTTAACTCAAGATGCCCCTTGCAGCCATCTGAGGCCCCATCATTTGGACTATACTGAAGCCTGACTTCTTCCTTTATCCAATCTTGCTTCCTCTCCTATTATTACAACTCTTCATCCCAAACAAATTCCTTAATAAACATTCTGCCTGAGATAGCTGACTCAGTTCACTTCCTGACACAAGGGGGGAAATCCCTCATGATCCCGGATGTTATTACTATGTTACGTATGTAACTGTGTAAGCATTGGAGCAGGAATAAAAAGTCAGGAATCCTCTAAGAGAATTCTGGGAGCGAGAGGCTAACACTAGAGTAGAGAGGCCTACTGCCCTTCACATAAACTGAGAAACATGGGCCTTCTTCACTAGTGGATCCTACACAGAGAATTATTCCTCTATTTTATCAAGGAAAAATATGTGTTTTACACATCTGGATGGTGACACAAAAGCCATGACTACAAACACATACCATTAATTCTTGCCAATCTCCACGTTCGTTGTACTCTGGAGTCAGAACTCTCCAAACTAAAGTCAAAGGGTGGGCCATTTTCAGGCTCATCAGGATCAATAGCAACAATCTCGGCAGAGGTCATGGTGGGCTTGCAGATCACCACTGTCTTCTGAGGAATGAATGGGCCATTATCATTCACGTCTTCAAGTACAATTCCCAGGGTCCCAGTACAACTTCTTCCATCTAGACAAACGGGAAACAAAATGTGTGTTTTTATTGATTCAGTTTTCACCAGGAAATTATACATAATAAAATTAATATATGCTTATTTGTTCTTAGAAGGCATAGATTACACAGATAACAGCAGCTATAAGCTACATATGGTGCTTCAATTATATTTTTTAAGAAACAAAAATATGTGAAGAAGTGGGAAGGCATTTTATATATCTCAATGATCTGGAGAAAATGAAGAAGGAAGATGAACACTGACACTAGAGAGAATGGGTAGGATCTATGAAAGTTAGACTAGAGAGCTGACAATTTATTATACATATAAAAAGCAATTAAAGGGGCTGGGAAGGTGGCTCAGTGGTAGAGCGCTTGCCTTGAATGCATGAGGCCCTGGGTTTGATTCTTCAGCACCACATAAGCAGAAAAAGCCAGAAGTGGCTCAGGGTCTAGCACATGTAAAGCCCTGGGTTTGGCCTTAGCTCCCAGTACTACAAATGTGTGTGTGTGTATGTGTGTGTGTGTGTTTAAAACTAGGAAATACATAGCAGAAGATGTACACAGCTGTGTTGAAAACAAATTTCTTACCTTTATCCAGTGCGAGAACTGTAATGTTATAGATGCCATTTCTGATGGTCTCAGCTTCTCTATCCAAGCTTCGGAAAACTTTGATTGATCCTGAATTTTCATCAATGGTGACCCACCCTTTGGGATCACTTAATTTCTTATACCTTTTAAGAGTGAGGAATTAAACTATTAAAAAGTACAAGCCAAATACAAAGCAGATATCAAAATAAGCTATAGATTCCTAAAACCCAGAACATGTTGCAGGAAGAACCACAGAACTTTGAATACCTTATGCCATGGTCACTTCTTCCCTCTGGGTCATAAGCTCTGTAGCCATTGCTTCTTGTTCCTGGGGGTGAGTTTTCTTTAATTCGGACAATTTGTGTTGGGGGTCTGCACTCAGGCCCCTCATCCTGGTTTACTATTGTCACAGTAACCGTGGCTGTGCTCATGGCCAGACGAGAACCAGAATCTCTAGTGTACGGAGCCTCATTAACCACCCCGATTTGCAGAGTCACCTGTTGTTTTTCTTCATAGTTCAATGGCTGCCAAGGCAAATGTGATGAAAAGCAGATCAAGCATTTAATAGCTGGCAATATTATTTTAATGCAGTATGACTTGCTAACTTTGGACATAGGCATGAAATTCATCAAGAGTATTCATGAGAACATTTAACAGGTGCCTACATGTATGACAGTGGTGGAGAAAACAGAATCCCTCAATTAGCATAGTATCCAAATAGTAAAAAACCCTTTTTTTAATTTTATAAATGCCTTTTAAAGGGGAAGGGACAAGAAAACACGAAAGTTTATTGACATTATACTTTATTACTATTTGATTCCCACATTTAACAGAATTATCTTTCTCTCCATTATATCCTAGTATGCTATTCTATGATATTATAAATTATAAATTACAAATTCTTAAATTCTTACCTTAACAACACACAAAACTCCTTCATTGGTTTTGGGATCTGTTACAATTTTAAAATTTCCATTTTCATTGCCTGTTAAGATTGTATAATTAGCTCTCCAATTCGGAGTACCAACTAAATCTTTATCCTCAACAGACACACGTAAGATTTCCACATCAATTGTATTTTCTTCCACGGATGTCATATACTAAAATAATAGAAAAGAAAAACAAGTTCACTAGCCCTCACAAAAATAGACTAGCATGTGAAGCAAGCTTGGCTCTTCCATCTTCTAAAGTACTATGTTCACATGACTTTAAAGTTGTAACAACAAGTAATGATTTTATTCCAGGGTGACTTCTCTATCTTAAATCAGGAGGCATGGATAGAGATGTGCGTGTTTAACAATTACTACTAGTTTATACATTTTCCTTGTATAAGCACCATACACTTACAGAAGTACGGGTAAATGTTGGCAAGTTGTCATTCACGTCTCCAATATTAATGACACAAGCTGCAGTTGTCTTCAAACCAAAATACTGACCGTCCATATCTTGTACTTTTATTTTCAACTGATATTTTTCAACTAACTGAAAACACAGAAGAAAGCTAATGATCAGGGTAAAGCAGCAACATTACAAAGGAAATCAACTTATATGCTAATCTCCTTAAATTAACAATTAGCAAATTTCATAGCATTCAAGTACTAAATGAAAAATTTTCTCACACTAGTAACTTTCAGTCAGTATAAAATGCTACCAATTCAAAGACTGTATTGTCAATGGATTTTGTTATTATTCAACAGAATAAGAGTTACAGTCATAACTAGCCTTACAATTTCCTGGTAATTAATCAAAATCCTTATCTTTACAAAAATGCATTCCTATATTCCAGGATATTTAACTGTGATTTCTACAACAATCTTGTAAGATAGTAAGGTGAAATATCCTCCTGTGACAAAGTAGATACTTAAGATTTGTAGAAAGATCATTAAATAAATATGAAAATATAGGTTTGAGGTACATAAATTTTTATTTGGATGGGGAATAGAATGTGGTTTTAGAATTTCCCATACAACATAATAATGCCTTCCAGATTGAGACAGAGGAGATTTTTTTTCTTTTCTCAGATCCAGAAATAATACTGTCTTAGGCAGTGGGAAATAACTCTACTGAGGATTTCACTTCTACAACTGTAATGATTCCCTTTTCCGTTTAATTCATCTTTCTTTCTAAGACAAAATCATATAAGAAAATCAGCTCTAGCCTTCTGCCTGAATGTTCATCCTTTTTTACAAAGCCATCTATTTTCTGTAAATTACGTTCTTGTTTACATGCGGTAAAACACTCAACTTTCTCTCTATGCTTTTTGAACATGTGGTTTTCCTGGTTTACTCCTCCCTTATAATCTACCACTTGTATAGACTTGAAATATAATGGCCTGTAAAGATTTATTTATATCTCCTGCTGTTTTATTTTAAAAGGACGTAATGCATATTTTCTTGGTAATGAGTTGACATTTATTGCAAAAAATCAATTGGCTGATAAATCAAGGGAAGGAAGTTTTGTTCTTGTTATTATATGTCTACAAAACACCTAAAGGTATTGAAAATGAGAAACCAAAGAGAGACAGGTTTTTTTTTTGTTTTTTTTTTTTACATCTGTGTAAGGGGAAGAGCAGACATGATGCTGTTGAGGGAGTAATCACACAGACAGAATTCCTCTCTGTAGATAGCACATGTCTGCACTTTTCCACAAAGGCTCAAGTTTTACAGTTAATATTTCCTATATTTCCTATTCAAAATACGTTCATATGAGAATATTTGATTTCATGAACTACAAAACTCCAAAACAAACTAAATGATTATTTTCTTTAAAAATTATTTCACTTAATATATTTGAGATTAGAATTTTCCTAATTTTTTTATTTGCATCATATTTTTCAAAAGCAGTCCTGCAGATGACACACAGAAATATCTAGGTGCAAAATGAAGGTCCCTTTTCTTTAATGTTAATGGATGAAAGTGTTTTGAATCTGAGACTTTTTCTGATAATGAAATTTTTACCTACACACAATGAGATATTTTGGTGATAGGCCTTATTCCAAACACACATCCACTTATGCCATATATGCTTTTTTCTTAATTATTTTATGCAACATTTTCATTATCTCTGTGTTTCATACCTGATCTGAATAGATCTACTTCTTACATCACACCTACACACAGAAAGTGAGATCTAGGAGAATTTCAGATTTCAGATATTCAGATTAGGGCTAATTATGTTGGACTCTTAACTAACCCAGTCATAAACAAGGTTGATGTGTTGGCATTTATGTTACCTCTCTGTCGAGTTGAGATGACGTTGTAGTGATAACTCCTGTAGTCGGATGCATGGTGAACAGCGTGGGGGAGGGTGGTATCTGCTCAAGGATGGTGTACCTTAGGCGTGTGTGCATAGTGTCAGGCTCATCTTTATCAGTTGCACACACCTGCCCCACAGAAGAGCCTACATGTGAAAAATTCCTAGTTAATTTCCAAGATGTTCACATATCCAAGGTTTTGGACTTTTTGCTTTTCTTTTTTGGACTCTTTGCTCACCTCAGAAAGTTCTGGACTACTTTATTATTTCCCAGGATCAGAGATGGTGTACATTTCAAACCTCTACACAAAGTACCATGGCCTTTTAAATATGTTTACCTTTTGGAATTTGGTGATCATATCCAATTTTGCTCTACGATCCTATAAATATTAATATCGAATACCTCTATACATTTCTAAGCTAAGAAATTCAGTACTGGGAGCAGGTGTCTCATACCTATATGTAATCCCAGTTTCTCAGGAGGCTGAGGTCAGAGGATTCTATGCAAAGCTAGCTCATACAAACAAATCCAAGAGACTCGTAACTCCAACTACCCAGGAAAAAGTAAGAAATGGAAGTGTGGCTCAAATGGCAGCGCACCAGTCTTAAGAAAAACAAAACTAAGACAGAGCATGAGGCCCTGAGTTCAATTGTATGCAAATGCCTACACATGCACACACACACATACACACACACACACACACACACACACATTTGAATTATTTTTGGCCTTTGTCTATTTGCAAGTGTTCATTTAGAGTAACTATCTGAGTAAATTTTCTCTGATAATTATTGGTTGAATTAGGAAGAGAAAATCCCCAAAACTGCATTCTGATGTCCAGCTAAAATGAGCCATTTTTACAAGATTAGGAAAAAAATTTGTATTGTTCACAATGACTATTACAATTATGATGAGAATATTGGCACTCATTCAATTATTATACACATCAGCACTTAGTTTCAAGACTATCCAACTCCTGAAAGACTACTTTTTTTGCAATATGTTCTCTTAAAAGCACTCACTTTACCTCCCAAAGAAAGCAAAGTAACTACTATGTGTGCATGTGTGTGTGTGTGCATTTGTGTGTGTGTGTGTGAGAGAGAGAGAGACAGACAGACAGACAGACAGACAGACAGACAGAGAGAAAGAGTTCATACTGAAGTTTCAGCTCAGGGATGGGCACTGTTCCTGAGCAGTTTTACTCCAGGTTTATGACCTACCACTTGGGCCCCAACTTCTACTTCTGGTTTATTGCTGGTTAATTACAGATCAGAGATGCATGGACTTTCCTGTCCAGGCTGGCTTCAAACCATGATCCTCAGATCTCACCCTTCTGAGTACGTGGGATTACAGTTATGAGCCATCAACACCCCACTGCAAAGCAACTCTTATTAACTCTTATTTTTTTATTGTTTCTTAAGTTTTATTTCTTGCAGATTAACGAATGGGCATTCAGAAGGTTTCCTTACAGAAGAGAAAGCACACATGAACAGATAAACCCTTATTGAGCAATATTCATTATACTTAATAAGTATAGCAAATAGCTTATAGTTAATTCTTAAAGATTACTGAAGTTTTTCATACAATGGCTTCTCATTTAATCATTGCAATTTTAAAAGGAAATAAAAGATTAGTCAAATAAATTATGTAATTTTAAACTCAGCTTCCTTGAAATCTTGACAGGAAAAAAATCTAGTCTTCATAGGGCTAACTCCAAATATTTCTTAACAGAAATTGCACACATATGACACCTGTCATCCAGTCTTAGACAAGAAAATGAATTTAGAAATTTGGGCTATACAATGTATTTTTTAGTTATCACATTATGGCTGTTCTAGAAAAATTCATCATACAGCTGCTAGAAATTTTAATATGTATCATTCATTCTAGATAAAAGCTGCTATATTTGGCAAGGGAAAATAGTACTAACATTCATAAAGTGATAGCATTCAAAATAGGCCAAGGGAAAGAGCAAAAATCTTGTACCTAAACCTCACTATGACAGAAAAAAAATTGTCTGAAAACTTAAATTTGATAGGCATTTTATTTCCAAAGAAATCAATCAAGAAACAATGTTTAACTCCTATTTTTGAAGTACTATGCTTAGTATTCCTTATGATACTTATAGTCTTCATAATAATCTGGCATGTAGAGAATCCATTTTATAGATGAGGAGCTAGAAGTTTGTCCCAACTAGGAAACTTCCCCAAGGGTGAACACATAGATAGAGAATCACACGGTGAAATGCCCCTCCGTGTTCTTTCCCCCACATTATTATTACTTCCCAGTGGCCAACATGGAAACATTTAAATTATATCACTAGAGTAGATGCTCACCAACTGGGCAGTTTTCAAAAACCGTGAAAACATATGTTGATTCAGTAAAAATTGGGTAGTTATCATTTTCATCCTCTACTTTGATCACGAGAGGCAGTGGGTACTCTGGTGTGTAGCCATCTGGAGTGGTAGCAAAGGCAGTTATCTGTGAAGAGAGCAAAAAATAATCTCTTTCATCTGTGGTATTGGAGAAGGAAGAGAATGATTCATACATGTTACACATGTGCTCTATCTCTGTGCTAGCTCCCTACTCCTGTCCACCCCCACCCCTGCCAAAAAAAATGACCCTTTAAAATAAAATCTGGCTCAAAGATGCTCAGAATTGCTGTGATCATCTTTCCATTTGTCTTATTTTAGAAGTATTTTTGATGCCAAAAGTTAGCTAACATTTCATGGTGCAGCATAGTGTTATGTTTGAAGTTATCTAATATAACAGCATAGATCGTTTGCATTTCTTTGTCATTGCGGTGCATTGTTCATGAAGTTTCTTTGTTATTTTTCCCAGAATAGTCTTACAGATTGTGTATTGTTTTGTTTGAGAGATTCAGGTAGCATGGACTTACACTAAAACTTTCTGGATCTTTCTATGTAGGGATATTTTCTTATTTTCTCGTAGATAGGATTTTAAGTTATGTCAATAGTTATACGTAGATGATTATACTTAGATGTCTCTTCCTTTTCAGTTTTTAAGTTAAAAAGCAGAAATAGAACTTAACAATGGTTGTAAATTATATAATAAACATGATAATAAGTTGTATAACCTATGACTTCTAGTTTTACAACATGAATTTCCATTCAAATATTTCTCCTAATTACTATTTAAAAACAGTAGACTTAATATTCTTAACATCTTATGTACAAATTCTAAACCTAAATATGTAATTCAAAGCTTGCATATCTATTACTTTAATTAATTTGGTCTCCTAAGCAGTGATTCATGCACCCAAATTTGGTGGAAAATAAGTAAAATTGAGTTAAGCAAGATAATCAGGTCCTGTTGAAACATCAAACCATGAACCAGATACTTAAAAGACTTAAACCCGATTAAATACTGCCTACATTCCTTAACTGCTCACTTAAAGTTACTTTTCTACAGTGAAAAAGTATTCATGAAACTTTGAGCCACTTTACCCTCTTTGGTATCTAAACTTACACAGAACTTCACAAATCTTTTCTACAAACTGGATAACAACTCTTCAAAATGGTGCTGATTTTTTTCTTTAAAAAGAAAATCCAAATAAATAGTAAACCAATAGTACCAGAATCTAATTTTACTTATTCTACTTATTTTTGTTTCAACTTATTATTATGCCAGCACATCAATAACCGTTTCAGAAAATAGAAAATGCAAGTCAATTGATGAGAGACCAAATGGCCAAGTTTAATGCACACACTTTAGACATTACCTCAAAAGATGCATACTGCTCACGATCAACTGGGCCAGTACAATACAAATTGCCAGTATCTCTTTCCACATAAAATAAATTTAAGGGCTCTTTGTCTACTCCAGGTCCTCTTATGGAATAGTAGATAGTGTAGTTTTGTGCTGTGTCAGACTGAACCTGGAGAATAGGTATTATAAACATAAGACAAAGTTTGTTTCATATATTCATGCAATCACATGTCCATTTTTACTATAATAAGTTTCCTCTTTAGTATTACATATCAACAAAAAATCAATAAATGAGGAGACCTCAGAATAGACAAATTTCAAGAGTAAAACATGGACTAAAAATGTACTTAGACTTTCAGACTAAGAAATATTTTTTAAAACTGAATGATATCTATGTGAACCAAAACCTTTTTTCTGGTACTAAAAAAAATAAATTAAACAATCACAAAATATACTATTGTCATTAAAGAAAACCCATAGAGGATTTATAGTGTATGAGAAAACATTAAGAAACTGAGTTTAACCACATGTGATGGCTCATACCTATAATCCCAGTAATTTAAGAGGCAAGCGCAGGAGGATCTCAAATTCAAGGCCAGTTGAGCAACACAGTGAGATCTTATCTAACTTCCAAAAAATAAAAAATAATATAAAATTTAAAAAATCAAGCAGCTTACATCTGTAATCTTAGTTATTCAAGAGACTGGATTCTAGAAGACTGAAATTTGGAAACCAAGAGGAAATATCTGAGCGATTCTGCCTTCAAAATGACCAGCAAAAACAGGCTAGAATCATGGCTTAAGAGGTAGAGCACTACCAAACAAGTAAGGCCCTGAATTCATACCTTTATACCAGCAACAGAAAAAAAAAAGTTGGAAAATAAATTTCTCAATGAAGTTTTATCATCTGTCTGCATCTTCCTTATCAGAGTTGAGTGCGGAAGGAGGAATAGAATAAAAAAAATGAATTAATAATTGGGCTGGGAAGGTGGCTTAGTGGTAGAGTGCTTGCCTTGCATGCATGAGGCCCTGGGTTCTATTCCTCAGCACCACATAAGCAGAAAAAGCCGGAAGTGGTACTGTGGTTCAAGTGGTAGAGCATTAGCCTTGAGCTGAAGAGCTGAGGCCCAGAGTTCAGGCCCCACGACCAGCCCCCCCTCTCCCCAAAATGAAATAATATCTTGTAAGGGTGACATTTTGGTCCTTGATTCAGAAAACAACTTATTTCCAAACTGTTTTCACCCTCTCAGTAAGAGCTTGACTATCATTATAGCAGGATGACTAACACTATTATTTCCTAACAGTTTCTTTCTCAACGTTAAACAGCTTTCCTCTCAGCCTTATTAAAAGTGTTAGTAGAGTATAAAGGAATGTTCCCTCTCATCATTACACAAAGTGAATATTAAGAAACTCAGTTCTGAAACTGATTTATATTGCCTTCTAGTAGTAGAAGAAGGCCAGATTTTCAGGAAGTCCCCCAATAAATTCAAAAGAGAAACAGAAGATGTGGATCCAATGTGTTAAGGACTCGAACTAAGCAATAGAAAACCATATATATCCTCCTTCACAGCAATTGAAGGTATTTTAGAATTTCCTAAGAAATACCCTTGTTTATTTATTCACTTTTTTTAATTCACTGAAGAAACATGTAGGGGCTGGGAAGGTGGCTCAATGGTAGAGTGCTTGTCTTGCATGCCTGATGCCCTGGGTTCGATTCCTCAGCACCACATAAGCAAAAAGAAAAAAGCCAGAAGTGGCGCTGTGGCTCAAGTGGTAGAGCACTAGCCTTGAGCTGAAGCGCTGAGGGACAGCACCCAGGATCAGAGTTCAGGCCCCATGACTGGACCCCCCCCCCATAAAAAAGAAACATGTAAGCTGGGTGCGTGTGACTGATACCTGCCATCTTGAGAGGCTGAGATCAGAGGATTGAAGTTCTCAGTCAGTCCAAGCAGGAAAGTCATTAGATTTTATCCCAGTTAAACATTAAAAAAAAATCAGAAGTGAGCCTGACACTGGTGAGTCATACTTATAATCCTAGCTACCTTGGAGGCTAAGATCTGAGCACTGTGGTTCGAAGGCAGCCCTGAGGAGGAAAGTCTATGTGACACTTGTCTCTAATTAACCACCAAAAAAGGTGGAAGTGGAGGCATGGCTCGTCTTGAGCTAAAAATTCTCAAGAACAGTGTCTAAGCCCTGAGTTTAAGCCCCAGGACCAGCATTTAGCACTATTGGCCTAGTGCTGAAAAATCAAAGAGTTCAAGCCTCAGTACTGGTGTCACAAAAGGAGAGAGGAACAGAGACAAAGACAGAGACAGGAACAGAAAGTATGCTTCAGAGAGCTAAATAGGTTTAGCCATTTTATTGATAGCCTTTTCATGACAAAAGCTGCAAAAAGTACATATAAGAACACAGATTTACCCTCATACAAAAAATCTGATATACATATCCACTCATATAGAACTTTTTGCCTACTTTTTTGTGATGCTAGGCATTGAACCCTGGAACCTGATGTATGTCTAATAAGCCCAGTCATTACATGGCTATTTGAATTTAACTGCAAATTCAATGTCACAAATCTTTTAAATAATAGAAATAATGGACTTGCGTAGCAGAAAAAAAAAAAAGGCAACTTTACCTGTTGAAGGAAAAGTGGGAAAGGACCCAAGGAATTCTCTAGCATTGAACAAGGAATGGGGGCCCATCTTCTCTTGGCACGATTTAGTACTTTTTCTTTAGAAAACCTTTCCTTTACCACCTTGATTTAAATGAGAGAGAAAAAAATGAAATCAATGACTATTTCATTCTCTACAAAACTCGGATACATTATTCTTTTTCTCAAGAGGATTAGCAGAGGAGGGGTAAAACTATGGTAATGGTTGAAAACCACATGGAATATCACCATTGAAAAAAAGAAAGATCCATACTAACTGTCATCCTGACAATCCTCCTCATGAGGAAATAATTTGGTAAGTTTATGGAGGAAAAAGAGATGGAATTGGAAGCCTAGGGAAAAAAATTAATGTTGCCACTTTGCTATGCAAAAATATGGGAGTATAGAGATGAAGGAAGTGAGCATGCACCCTTTATATTTACCAGGAGCACCTCCTCCCCACCAGCAAGTGAGAAGAGCCAGGGGACCAACAGAGAGATCAACATGGGACAACTCTCAGACTACTGCAACAAGAAAAGGCCAGTGGCTGAATGGAGCCCATTTTGATCCTGAGTATCACAATGGTGCATATATGGTCTAAATTTCCTGCAAAATTAGTCATCTATTTCCTAACACTAACAAGTTATGTTAAGTTGCAAGAGTTAGAGTTTATTAGAGATAAAAATATTCAAAACTTCTTTTTGGAAATCCATGCATAGTGTGGAACAAAATTTTTCTTTGTGTTTGATCTCAGTTTTCATGCTGTAGATTATCTCCTTTTATGTCTCAAATGAGAAGAAATAGTAACCTGTAATAACCTGTGCTGGACAACCCTTTACACTGTAAAGTGGCTTCACATGATTCGTTTTCTTTCAAACCAAACTATCGATATCATGACTCCACATCGTACTAGTAATGTTAGTTAAACCAAGAGAAATGAAATTACTATACTTCATTTATACAGTCTTATGTACCTCTGCTTGATTCTCTAAAAGGACAGAAATTCTCTTCTCTTCTTGGCTCTCTGTGTTGAAAAGTAAGATGGTAAAAATTCTCTTTTCCGAGGACAAAAGAACTGAATTTGTTGTATAAACTGAACCATCTTCTAAAATTTGGAAATCAGGATCACTTGAATGTATTAGATTTGCAGATCTAAAACACTCCTTCAGATTAACTATAAAAAAATACATGACAGTCATTCACAAGTTGAAACAAAACAATATACATTTTAACAGTAATCTATGCATATCAGGAGAGCCACATACTCAAATTAGGCTCTTACTTGTACACTTAGCAGTTTTAAAAGAAGTATGAACTGATGTGATTAAGTTGTGCTCAAACATATGCACCACTTCTCATGCTAGTTTTATATCCTCTCATAGAAAAGACACTTGTCTTGAAATTAAGGCGTGTTAATTCCAGTGTTTATTTAAACAAACATGAAAAATGTTTTTCCTTATTGACTAAAACCAGCTACAGAGTAACACGTAAAAACATGTAAAATACAAGAACCAGAATATAGCTGTCAATAGTTATTACATATTACTAAGCTCTTCATACCTGCTGTGAAATACTCTTAATATTCTGTGTTGTCATTGTCTGGATCTTTCTTTATACACTTGAGTTATGTAACAAATAATAATAATTGATAAAAAATTGTATGAAAGTAAAATGCAATAAGATGTACAAATATTCTATAATGAAAATTCAAAGACAATACCTCTAAACTCAAGAAATAGTTTCAGTACTATTTATGAATTTCTTAGAGGCTTACTTAGCATATAGCCATATCTTTCATTTAAGGCAAACATTAAAAATTATTCTATTACTCAAACTAAACCTGTTTATCTACTTCATATAAGCATGTTTTTTAATGAAGATTTCATTGGAATGACACTCTAATGTATTACAAATAAAAATGTGGTGCATTAGTTTAATTATTCATTCAATTCAGTTATTGTTCTAGAAATGTACTAACTTTTAACAGAACATCCCCATTTATGATTTACCAATATTTTAATAGGCATTTTTCTTTACCTCTTCCAATAAATTTCTCAGCATCTAGTTGAGAGGGAACATGCAGTATAACTTGTTTGCAGGCATCACAGGTAAATGTGAAGACCTAAAAAAGAAAACTTTATCAGTGTTGCCAAGGAATAAAAAAAGAAATCTTATCAATGTCATACTTTAAAAACATCTGGTTTTTAAAAACTTCACATAATAATAAGACAAAAAAATGGACAGTGTCACATAATTCCATAGCAGAGGCAATGACAAGAATGGAAAAAATAAAGCAGAAAAAGAGTTGACAAAGGGCAGACCAGTGTCTGAGTGAAATGAGGAAACAGACCAATTTCCTCACTGAGGAAACCTTTGCCAGATAAGGCAAAAACCAGATGAAAGCTGTAAAAGTAGATGACCCAGCACCTTTAGAGAAACAGCAAAAGAATTATAATAAAGGATAGAGAGGGAAGAATGATAGGAGATAACACAAAAGGTCAGTCAGGGACATATCAAGTAGTGTCTGACAGGTCATGGTAAGAAATGCAAATTCTGTTCTGCTTGTATGGAGAAGCATTGGTTGGCTGAGAGGCTGCATGGTGGCCTCATCTGGTATCTACACTGAGTCGTTCTGCTGGATATGTGATGAGTAGAGTAGAATAGACTATGAAGAGGCATGAATGAAAGCCAGCAGACTAATTGGAGGCCAAAACAGGAATCCAAGAGAGGGATGATGGTGATTCAGACTAAAATAATAATAGAGAAGGTGTGAAATGGCCAGGTTAGCACAATATTTACTGATCAGTAAACATGGTCTGCATACAATATTTGATCCAAAAGCAAGACGTATTTAAATTTTCAGTAAAGTGGGAAGAATCCATGACAGGGAGCCCACTTTGTCTAAAAGTAGGGATAAGTTAGCTATGATGTGAGAAGTCAACTCTGGTAAGAAAGTGCTTAAATTCCAAATAGGACCATCTTATGGGAAGGCCTAGAGTTGACCTTGGCTATGAAAAAGAAACCTAGAAAGCCGGGCGCTGGTGGCTCACGCCTGTAATCCTAGCTACTCAGGAGGCTGAGATCTGAGGATCGCAGTTCAAAGCCAGCCGGGCAGGAGAAACCGTGAGACTCCTATCTCCAATAAACCACCAGAAAACCGGAAGTGGCGCTGTAGCTCAAGTGGTAGAGCGCTCGCCTTGAGCT